TGTGACTATGTAATAGAGAGTGATGTACATGGGGGGGGGGTTCTTGGCGCAGAACTCAGCAGGAAGGGCGGCGCGGTAGCGAGTGTCACTAGTGCGGAGGTGCGTAATGAGGTCAGCGACAGTGGGAAAGGCAGTAAGGTCAGGAAAGAGGTACGGTAGCATGAGGCGACTCAGGGCAGCAGTGGCAGGGGAAGAGTAGCGCGCAACTACAGCGTCGTACAAGGTCTGAGCACTCTTGTACTGACTAAAGTGCGCGCGCTCAGTGGTAGGCAGGTGGCGACGCACAGCAAGACGTGCAGCAGCATCGCGGGTGGCCCACTGAGAGCGAACAGTGGGGTCAGCATCAGTAGCAGGGGCAGGAGAGGCGCCAGAGGTGAGGTCAAAGAGGGAAAGACCGTCCGCCCTATCGCACTGTAAGAACAGCTGCAGGTCGTCGACCCAGACCTCAAAGTCAATGGCTCGACCCTCAGCGTCAAAAGCGAGGACACTAGGGGTAGCCATGACGACGACAGACGAGCAGTGCAAGCAGTAGAGGAAGGGCACGCAGTCACAGTGGGGCTGTGCTCACCGGACAGGGCAGGTCGGGCGGCTCGGCAGTAGGGCGGCTCGGCTGCTCAGCGGCTCGGCGGCAGGGCGGCGCGGCTGCTGGGCGGCTCGGCTGTTGGGCGGCTCGGCGGCAGTGCGGCTCGGCTCCCGGGCGGCTCGGCGGCAGGGCGGCTCGGCGGCAGTGCGGCTCGGCTCCCGGCGGTGCCGCTGCTAGGCGGCTCCCGCAGGTAGGGCGGCGGTAGGGCCGCAGGTAGGGCGGCGGGCGGGCCGTAGGTAGGGCGGCGGGCGGGCCGCAGGCAGGGCGGCGGTAGGGCCGCAAGTAGGGCGGCGGGCGGGCCTCAGGTAGGGCGGCGGTAGGGCCGCAAGTAGGGCGGCGGGCGGGCCGCAGGTAGGGCGGCGGTAGGGCCGCAAGTAGGGCGGCGGGCGGGCCGCAGGTAGGGCGGCGGGCGGGCCGCAGGTAGGGCGGCGGGCGGGCCGCAGGTAGGGTGGCGGGCGGGCCGCGACGTGAGGGCGGCGGGGCCGCTGTAGTGGGGCGGCGGGGCCGCTTAGCAGAGGGCGGCGGGGCCGCGTGAGCAGGGCGGCGGGGCCGCGTGAGCAGGGCGGCGGGGCCGCGAAGCAGAGGGCGGGCGGGCCGCGACGTGAGGGCGGCGGGGCCGCTGTAGTAGGGCGGCGGGGCCGCTTAGCAGAGGGCGGCAGAGCCGCGTGAGCAGGGCGGCGGGGCCGCGAAGCAGAGGGCGGCTGGGCCGCGCGAGCAGGGCGGCGGGGCCGCGAAGGAAGGGCGGCGGGGCCGCGTTAGTAGGGCGGCGGGGCCGCGTAGGGAGGGCGGCGGGGCCGCGAGGGGCGACACGGAGGGTCGCTAAAAAAAAGGAAAACGCGCCTCGGGGCGCGCTTCGGTGGGCCCTAGAAGCAGTCCCTAGGAGGGGACCTGCTCTGATTCCATGTGGAAATGAAGAACAAGGATGGTTGAACTATGAATGAAGTGAGTACATATAGGAAACCCTAATTGGGTTGTACCCCCTATGGGATACCCCACTATAGCCTACACAACAGCATAAGCTATATAATGTTCTGACAGGCGCGTGATCCAGCAGGGCGGCTAGTGGGGCAGCGCTGTGTTGGGCCAAAAAAAAATCGGACCTAACGAAGGACCTGCTCTGAAACCATGTCAAAACTAACAAACACGAATGAATGAACTATGAAAGAGTTGGGTACAAGTACTAACCCTAATTGGGTTGTACCCCTTATGGGCTACCCCACTATAGCCTACACAAATGTAAGCACTATAATATTCTGACACAGTCGACAGTACAGCGACAGTTCCGACTGACCCAACCCGAACTGGACGAACTATGGAAGCAGCTAGATTACCTGCTCGAGAAGGAATTCATTCGCCCGAGTTCGACACCCTTCGCAGCACCGATACTGTTCACACCGAAAAAGGACGGGGGTTTTTGCATGTGCATCGATTACCGCGTACTGAATAGAGTTACCATCAAATCCCGTCACCCCATCCCACGAGCCGACGAACTGATCGACCAACTGCGCAAAACCCGGGTTTTCTCGAAAATTGACCTTCGTGGAGGCTACCACCAGATCCGAGTCAACCCACCCGACTGCCCGAAAACAGCTTTCCGAACACACTACGGATCCTTCGAATACACCGTCATGCCCTTCGGACTGACCAACGCCCTTGCAACCTTTCAAATGACCATGAACGAAGCCTTCCGACGGCTTTTAGATAAGTGCGTCATCGTGTACCTCGACGACATACTGATTTACAGCCCAGACAGAGCACATCACCTACAGGACATTGAATCAGTTTTGAAAATACTGAGTGAGAACCGCCTACTGACGAAAGCATCTAAGTGTGAGTTTTTACAGGACAGACTGAAGTTTTTGGGACACATTATTTCAGCTGAAGGAGTGGAAATAGACCCAATGAAGATCGCGACGATTCAAGCGTGGCACGCGCCGAGAAACTTGACCGAGTTGCAGAGCTTTTTGGGGTTCGTCAACTACGTGCGCCGGTTCGTCCCCAACATGGCGAATTTGACCGCTCCGTTGACCGACCTGCTGAGGAAGGGGGTTGAGTACACGTGGGGGGAGAAAGAGCAAGCTGCCTTCTCGGCCCTCAAACAAATTTTGTGCTCGCCGCCCGTGCTTCACATTGCAGATCCGCTTCGTCCGTTCGAGCTCGTCACTAATTCGAGTGACAACGCCGTGGGAGCTGTACTGTTGCAGGACTGTGGGAACGGCCTCCAGCCAATCGCGTACGAGTCCCGCAAGCCGCACCTGCCCGAACGCAACTACCCGATACACGACCGCGAAATGCTGGCGATCGTGCACGCGTTCAAAGTATGGCGATGCTACCTGACTAGCGCCGACGTGACAGTATGGACAGATCAACGATCACTACAATACCTCCGCGCCCAACCGAATCTCAAACCACGACAGATCCGCTCGTTGGACTATCTGGAGTCCAACTTCCACTACACAGTCACGTACAAAAAAGGTGCATCAAATATTGCCGACGCAGTCATACGTTCTACCGCCCAACTCCACGCCATCCTACTTGCCCAAACCAACCCACTGTTATCAGGCCTATTCTCCCACAGATGCAGTACCGACCCATTCTTCACGACCGAAAATTCACAGCAACTGGCAGAAGCTAAGGGAGTTTATTACATAAATACAGGCACCAACCACATTTGGGTACCCGCGTACTCACTACTGAGGGAACTCTTACTGCAAGAGGGACACGAAGGGATTACCTCGGGCCACTTCGGGGTAGAAAAAATGTGACAGCAACTGCAGTGGTATTACTACTGGTCGGAGCTGTTGACCAACGTACAGCACCACTCGGGCTCGTGTCGTACGTGTCAAGTGATGAAGAGCTTGCGAAAAAGAAAGGCGGGTCAATTGCAGCCGATTCCACCGCCCGAGCGCGCTTGGCAGCAAGTTACCATGGATTTCGTTACGGAGTTACCTTCGAACCCTGGGGGTAACGATGCGGTTATGGTCATCGTTGACAGTCTGACGAAAATGGATCACTTCGCTACATGCAAGAAATCGATCTCAGCCGAAGAAACCGCTCGCCTGTTCATCGCAGCCGTCGTTCGACTGCACGAGATACCAGCTGCGATAATCAGCGACCGCGACACGAAGTTTACCAGCAACTTCTGGAAGAACTTCTGGGAGCAATTCGGGACCACGCTACAGTTCAGTTCATCGTACCACCCCGAGACCGACGGTCAAATGGAGCGGACCAATCAGACGATGGAGCAGTTGATTCGGGCCACGTGCGACGACGCGACAACTTGGGAGCAGCAGCTGCCGCTGATCGAGTTCGCCTACAACAACGCCACGTCAGCAACGACGCAACAGTCCTCGTTTTACCGGAACTACGGGCAAAACCCAACAGTGCCCATGACGCCGAGTCTGGACAACCCAACGCCACGAGCACAACAATTCGCCAAGATTCTGCAAGCTGCCCGCACCAGAGCCGCAGAAGCAATTAAAAAAGCCAACGTCATCGCTAAACGCAACGCTGACTGCCACCGCCGCCCAGTCACGTACCAGTCAAGGGATTTCGTACCGCACGACACACAGAAGTTAAGACTGCCCATCGTACCAAATTACGACCGCGCTACTGTGGACCATTTCAAATCAGCCACATGATCACCCCAGTTACCGCCCACTTACTGCTGCCGACAGACTGGTACATCAGCCCATCATTCCACGTCAGCTTGCTTCGCCCTTACATCCCAAGCACAAGCCAACTGCCTTGTCACCGCCTGCCATCCATGACTCGCCCTGCATCGGAGCCGATCATGGAGCCAGAAAAAATTATGAGCCATCGGATTCGCCATCACATGCATCAAGAGGATCGAGTTCCTCGTTCTCTGGAAGGACCGCACGCCAACTGAGGATAGCTGGGTGCCCCTGGCCAACATCTGCAACCACCCTGCCCTGCAAGTGTACCTGAAGGGCCGGGGTTTCCGCGATATACACGCAGTCGCGTAGCGGAGGGGGCTTCTTGAGGGGGGGGGGTAGTGTAAGGAATTTTCTCGCCATTCCTTACCGCGACCGTCCACATCGCATACAGCAGCAGCCGTTGTTCGCCCGTTACTGCTAACGGGGCTTTGCCAACTTCGCGCGCACTGTTTCACCAAACCTCGCACTGCTGGAGCAGCCGAGTCGGCCTACGCTTCGGGACTAGCCCGAACCTCGCGCAAGCGTAGCACTAGCAAGCTCGCACGCACCGCGCTACCGTTTGCACATTTTTGCGTTGAAGTATTCGCTCATGCCTTCGCTCATTTTTTGTACTCATTGAACACTCTAGTGCAATCCTTGCTACCTTGATTCATTGCCCCCGTAACAGTTCACGACGTTTGTCTGCAGGAAGCCACTCTTCGTAGGTGGTGTGACGCCACATCACAGCCGGTGAGGCGACCTTAAACAGAGCCGTAGGTGGCGTATTTGCAGTCGGGCGCGACGATCGACGAGCGGATGTAGTCCTCCACATCGCCGTCCAGGAACCCCTTGCCCTCTGCCTTATCCACATCCACAGGGTGGTGTAGCAGCACCGCCAAGTGCGAGTACTTCACCACGCGCTGCAGCTGCTCCGGCGAGTTCCTAAAGTCCGCCCCAGAACGCCGTGTACGGCTGACGTGACCTTCACGTCGGAGAGCTCCACGTTGAAGTGCGTTTCTGCCTCGGTCAGCGTCTGCAGGAGCGGATGCGCCACGTGCACCCGCACGTCCAGTTCCGCCAGCCCCGCCACGCGCACTTGGAACTGATCCACGTCAAACGGCCCCTCTTTTGCCTCTGTGACTTTGGTAACCACCAGCCCGCTTTCCGTCGCAATCGACTCGCCGACGCTCGGAGGCGCCGTCATCGTGCCGTCGATCTCGAGCAGCAAAAGGAAGCCATCTTCCCCATGCTCCTACTGCTCCCCCTTGCGCGCAACCATGCGCAACGTGTGGTTTGCGCCGTCGGCCGTCATCCACACCACGCCGACCTCCTTAATCCACGTGTGCAGCTCCGTGCTCGAGTCACTCGACTTTGCCGACGCAGGAAGCGCGGGCGGTGCGCTTTAGTATCCGTTCAGATGCATTTTGACGTGGAATCGACGGTCAAAGAAAAGGCAGAATGATTTGTCGAGTCGCCCGGTGAAATCGTAGTGCGTGCTGTGCGCGCCCATGAGATGCAGGTCGTTTTCGACGAGCGCCGTGCGGTTGTAGAGCCCGCCGACGAAACTCAGCGGGTAAGACGCCAAGTTCGCAGCCTGCGTAGTCGCATTTCCCGCGTACGGCGTCTTGAAAAAGTCCGACGTGCCCGAGCCGCCGTTCTTCTCCAGCAGGTAGCACTGCACGTGGTCGATAAATCCCGCCACATTCGCGTTCTCGCCGGCGAGACGCAAGCTGAGGGAGGAAGAAAGAGAGCATCCAACGAGAGGCGGGGAAAATCATAGCAGAAAGAAATTAGTCACTCCGGCACACCATTGGGCTCAGCGCGTTTTGAATCAGCGACTCCGGAACTCGTAGCTTCCGTTTCGGAGCAGATTTTCGAAAAAATCTCAGCCCGCACTCACTTTTTAAACCAATGCCACTCGTAGCAGTAGGTGGAGCGCGCGGATGCACGGCAGCACACTTGCAGCGTGTTGCCGTACACGCCCTTCACCACGTCGAAAATGGTCCCCACCTCCGTGTACCGCTCGAAGTTCACGAGGCCCGGTCCACGCTGGTGTGGCGTGAACTGCCCGCCCTGGTTGTTGAACAACCCTTGGTAATCGCCGATAAAGTTGTAGCTGTTGTAAGTGGACTGCGTGATTGTTGCGGTAGCGAGGTCGTCTATGTAGGGGCAGACGTAGCAAGTGTGGCATCCGCCAGCAGGCATGTTAGCCGCATCTACGGCGTGCAGTACCAGGCTGATGAGGGCGAGCTTTAAGAAAAGGCTGCTAGCGAAAGCCATCATTGTGCTCGAATGATGCTCGGTAGGCATGTTAGAACTAACGGAGAAGAGGCTGATAGGTTAGTACGAGTTGAGATAAGAATGGCGTCTGATAAATACCTGCCCTTGGGGCTTGGCATATGAGCACTTCAATGCGTTGCGGTGCCATGGTGTATGGCTCTTCGTGTAGCGGTAGGTTCACAATTACTGGTAAGCTCACACGACAATTCTTCGCGTTGGTTTCGAGCAAGGGGGGAACTATTGAAAATGAAGTAAAGGATGAGGAAGGGTAAATAGCAAGTAGAAAGAAAGAAAATACATAGAAGAAAGAGTTAATATTGAAACAAGACAAAGTTGATAAGATCAAAAAACTCTTGAAGTAGAGATAGATTTAGAATGTAAAGGCTTTAAATGAGAAGGTTAAGGATAAGATATTAAAAAACTTGAAAGAAAGATGATAAAAACATTGAAAGGAAAAGAAAGATTAACCAAATGGAAGATATTGAATGAGTGATTCATGAAGAGGTAAAGGGGCTTGAAAGTAAAAAAAACTTGATAATAGCAAATAAGATTTGAGAAGAAAGGAGACTTGATAAGAATGAAGAAGCCTGAAATAAAGAAGCTTGAATAGAGAAGAATCTTGAATAGAACAAGAAAGCTTGAATAGGGAAGCTTGATAAAACAAAGAAGCTTGAATAGAGAAGCTTGACAAGAATGAAAGAAGAAGTGACTTACCTTAAAAGAGTCAGTCTTGTTATATTGAAGGAGCTTTGTAACTTGGAGAATCCAAGCTTGAATTGTAGATCTTGATGTTAGAAACCTATTGAGAAGGATGGTCGAGTAGGTAAGGGGGAGAGTACAAGAGTATCAAGAGAATGGTTGTACCCTCTAGGGATAACCCCTACACAGCCTAAAAAGATGGAAACATATAAAATGTTTTGACACACCCCCATAGGTGAAGAAGGGGATAGCAAAACCTAACAGTGGTCACAAGACCAGTCAAGCAAGAGAACAAGCAAGGCAAAGCCCAGGGTGGATCTCAGGGACACCATACAGTCTGAGCACAAGCAAGCGGCCACAAGGCCAGTTCACATGCAGAGTTATAATAGCAAGGCAGTACACTGATGACAACCTAGCAAGAGAAAGCAAGCACGTAAAAAGATATATATCAGTGTACAACAAGTGCAAGTCAAGCAACCAGCAGGTGAGGCAGAGTGGGCACAAGCCGAAGAGCAGTGCAGAAATGATGATGATCACCAGACCCAAGGGCCTTGGTGAAAACATCAGCAGTGTTGGCTCGAGAGGCCACGTAAGCAAGGCGCAGCTGACCACGCTGCTGCAGCTCCCGAGCAAGAAAGTAACGAAGAGCAATATGCTTTGTTCTGTGCTCCAGTCTCTGCTCGCAACACAAGGCAAGCATTGCATTGTTGTCGACGTACAGAACTGGAGGAGAACGAGGCCGCTCCCCCAAGTCGGTCAGCAGGTAGGTCAGCCAGCGTAGCTCCTGTGCAGCCATGGCCCCTGTGTAGATCTCGGCCTCACAGCTGAAACCAAGCACAGAAGAAGAACGAGTGGACCTCCAGGAGACAGAACCAGAGCCAAGACTCAAGGTGTAACCCTGTGACGAACGCTGAGCCCCCTGGTCGTCGGCCTTAGAAGCGTCAGAGTGTCCTGTGAGTACCACTAAACCCCGTCCTCATGCCTGATGTACAACACAAGTAACGCAGTACCCTCTTTGCAGCATCAAAGTGCACCTTTCGGTGTCTACCAGGTGCCACGTAGCGAGCCAGGAGGCTGAGAGGGTACTCGAGATCAGGTCGTGTGCACGTCATCAGGTACATGAGGCAACCCACAAGCTCTGGGTACAGACCACTCGGCTCTACGGGCTCATCCGAAAGTGGAGCTGAGAGCGAGTGACCGGTAGACAGAGGAGTGAGCTGTGGCGAGGAGTACTCGAAGCGGAAGCGCTGGAGGACCTGGTGCACCATGTGTGACTCGGTCAGGGTGATGGTGCGCCATGCTCTGTCCCGGGTGATCTGCAAGCCAAGATAGCTCCGCAGCTCACCCAGATCAGTGCAGGTGTGTCTCTCCTGGAGCTCCGCCTTCACTAGGGCCAGCGCCTCTGTGTCAGCAGTAGCAAAAACCAATTTGTCGACGTACACAAGAATGTAGATCGGCGTCAGGGTAGTGTCGGTGCGCAGAAACAGCGACGGGTCAGCAGTCGAAGGAGCAAACCCAAGAGCCGCAAGTGTAGTCCTCAGTGTGTCATGCCACTCGCGAGGTGCCTGACGGAGGCCGTACACGGGTCGCCGTAGGCTCCACTGGGTACCCTCAGAAAACGACCCTGTGACACCAGGTGGACGGTGCAGCCAGATGGCCTCGTGAAGGCTGCCTTGTAAGAAAGCTGTGGAGAAGTCGAGGGAGTGCAACTTGTAGTCACGCTGAGCTGCAACGTGTAGCAACACCCGAAGAGTGGTCATCTTCGGGGTGGGGGAGAAGGACTAAAAGAAGTCGACCCCCTGTTGCTGACTGAAGCCTCGAGCAACGTAACGTGCCTTGAAGGCAGGCGGAGAACCCGACGGCCGCTTCACCTTGAAAATCCATATGCCACTGACGATGTTCGCCCCAGGTGAGGGAACCTCGTCGACGTTGGTGCCTGTGGACTTCCAGGAAGCCATCTCTGTATCCATGGCTGACTGCCAATGAGAGGAGTACTCATCTGAGATTGCCTCTCTGTAAGAGCGCAGGGTGGGGATGTCAAGTGCATCCGGGTCTCCCTCAGAGACAAGGAGCATGGTCGCGAGATGAGGTGCAGCGGCCGCAAGACACTCGAGCTCCTCCTGTCTGTCCTCAAGAATGTCACATTCAAGGGCAACCTCACTAAAGACAGACGGAGGACTGGCAAAGTCAGGGTCAAAGACAAGACTCGCAAGGTATTCGAGGCGGTTCGCAGCAGCAAAGTGAACTAGCTCAGCGACTAAGGCAGACGCAGTAGGAGACGAGAACGTAGGGTGTGTCATAACTGTAGCAAGAAAACGAGTGACAGTCGGACTTGAAGCACGAGCAAGGTCAGAAGGAGGGTCAGCAACGCCAGGAAGAGAAGACGTAGGAGGTGATGGAAGGACAACACGCTGTGGAAGAGAGGAAGGACGAAGTGTCATATCGTGAGTGCCTGGGACAGTTGGAGCACGAGGACGACGCACATGACGAATAAGAGCAGGAACGGAAGATCTAGTCTCAGTCTCTCAACACTCAGGAGTGGAAGCACGAGTCTAAGGCTCTGGACGCTCAGTGAGGGACTCTGTCACAGCAGTGTAAGGAGCAGGAGCAGGCAGTGGGGAGTGAGGCAGTATCTGTGGGAACAGCAACGGAGGAGTAGTACCAGCGACTCGGAACTCGGTGGGAGCTGGCGGAAGACCAAGAAGGTGGCGAAGCGCACCAGCTGGTCCAGCACCTCCAGTACTAGCAGCTCCAGTACCTCCAGCAGTACCTCCAGCACCTCCAGGACCTCCAGCACCTCCAGCACGAGCAGCTCCAGCACCTCCAGCACCTCCAGCATGTTGGTGCAACCCTACGGTTTGCATTCGGCTTGTTGTCCGTGTGCGTGCATGCGTGTGTGCATGGAATTTTATGAGGGCACGAAATAATATATATTTCATGCTTACAATAGTGTGTGAATGATGAGGCATGATTTTGAATGTGTGTGTTGAGTCAATAGCGAGTTACCGCTTGTCGTGTGTCACGTCGTCGTTTGCGTGTCGTGTGCGTTTTTCTATTTTGTCGTGTGTGGAACGTTCGGCGTGTCGCAGGTGTGCGCAGCAGACTTCCAAGAACTCAAGGAAGAGTTTAGTTTGAAGAACCAGAGCCTTGGTTTCAAGAATCAAGTGATTTCGAAGCTCTCCAAAAGGGTAAACTTTAAGATAGTGAGAATAGTTGCATTACTTTGTGTTGTGTAACAGTTCTCTTGGTGTAGGCCCTTGTGGAGGGTAGTTTCGAGACCCTTCGTGGTTGGGGACAGTGTGGCACTGTTCCACATCACTGTAACTCGGCTCTTGGGGTTTGTAGGAGCTGGGAGTCATTCCCAACTCGCAACTCTTCCTAATTTGTGTTCTAAGACTATAGTGGCTGCCATAGTGCCGTTCGTTCAAACCGACGTTGCGTCCTCAATACTTGCTAAAATCGTGTGATTAAAATTGCCTATTGTAGGCGACATCAAGACACTCCAGATCCAATTTATAGCAAGTTTTTTGAAGCTGTGAGCAGAACGCTATCAACGTTTGAAGCCGCTGTGCAGAAATCCGACTGTGCACTCTATCTTTCGTTTTTGGCACATTCAAGCCTAATGTGACTGTAACACAGCACCAGCAGCACTAGCAGCTCGAGCACCTCCAGCACCAGAAGCACCTCCAGCACCAGCAGCACCTCCAGTACTAGCAGCTCCAGTACCTCCAGCACCAGCAGCAGCTCCGGCACCTCCAGCAGTACCTCCAGCACCTCCAGGACCTTCATCACCTCCAGCACCAGCGGCACCTCCAGCAGAAGCAGCTCCAGCACCTCCAGCACCAGAAGCACCCCCAGCACGAGCAGCAGCTCCGGCACGTCCAGCAGTGTCACCCACAGTTCCACCGCCATTAGGACTTGCAGCACCCCCAGAGTCAGCACCCCCAGTTGCAGCACCCCCAGACGCAGAAACCCGACTCGACACAGCCACCTGACCTGACTCAGCCACCTGTGCAGACGTGTGGTCAGTGTGTACAGACTAGACCCAGGCCGTCTAGTGAACGTAGCAAGGTGATGGCCATTCCGGGAGCACGTACAGATCGCCACACGCTTCCCTCCAGGAGTAAAAGTATCAACCCAGACATCTTGAAGAGCGGCTTTGCTCACCAAGCTCGTCGAGAACGAGAGGAGGTGAAGACCTGACAGAGAACCGGAGGGGACTGCTAGACACGAGAGGACAGCGGAGGCTCGTGCGACTACTGGACCCCCAGAGGGGTCAGCCCTTGAGACTGGGACAGGTGCTA